CTGCTTGGCATACCACTCCCTGATCCTGCACTCCAGGTCAGCGTTCTCTTGTTCCAGGCACCTCACCTTGTCCAGGTAAGAAGCCAGGCGGTCGTTAAGGTTCTGCATGGTGACCTTCTCGTCACCGGAAAGAAGAATGCCATCACCAGCAAAACCACCTCCACCGAGCCCCATCCCCATGCCCCCTCCCATGCCACCGCCGAAGCGAGCGCTGCCACCACTGAATCCCATGCCTGGGCATCCTCCGAGCACAGCGGCTCCTAAGCCGCCTCCGTAGTTTCCCCCGACCAAGCTGCCGGCGCTCAGGCCCCCTCCGTAGTTGACACCGCCGCAGTAGCTCCTGCCGGAGAAGCCTCGGCTCCCGCCTATCCCGCAGGTCGTGTATCTTCCGGAGGAGACCGAGGAGATCCGCACTCCGCCACCACCACCACCGCCACCGACCACGCAGCTGCCACCGCTGGTCCTGCCCCTGAGAGAGCCAGTTGTCTGCTTAATACTACAGCTCATGGCGAGGCCCAGCTGCAGCGCCAACCCACAGCCCAAAGCGAGATGCAGAGCGTGATACTGAGTCCGACTGCAAGGCTGGCGCTGCCGCAGGTCTCCATTTATACCTTCCAGAGGGGGGTGTCACCTGTGGGGTGTTTCTTCTTCCCACGGGGCTGGCTAGTCTGGCTGTTTATGCCAAGAATAAATAGCCCACGGGCAGTTTCCCTCTAGAAATCCCAGTTCACAGGGAAGATACTTTACATGTCAGCAGCTTATTCCAAAAAGTAAAATAGTGTTTTGTGAGTCATCAGCTTTTTTGTATGATGCAAACTTTGCAACAAGTCGAGAAAAAAGTTGCCCTAGATTATGTACAAAGAAGAAACATTGGTATTTATAACATCAAAGTGCCTTTTATCTTTTATTAATTTGTATTTATTTTATTCTTAGTCCAGTAACCATTTTTATATCACATGCTACGGTAGAGTTTGTGAGACAGAAATGGGAAACTAATAGAATTTCTCAATTCTGAAAAGTGTGAACCATAGCACTGAATGGACCAGGGACACTGTGGTGTGGATGTCACCTGGCACTGCTCTAACACCTCCTTTGCAGTGAGATTTCCTGGAGCAGTGAGGCAGTTCCCTGTTTATGGCTTCAACTTCCCTGGTCATGCAAACAACAAGAAGTCAAGATGCTCACACTGCGCAGCTCAGGCCGGCTCGGTGTCCCCTGTGTGTGGGTGACACAGGGCTGATGTCACCTGCAGAGTAAGAAGGACCTCGCTGAAGTTATTTTTCAATTACTGTAATTGCTGTCCTTGCTGCCCCAATTTGTGGTGATCGTAGATAAAGAAAGAGAGGACAGGAAAAGGAGTACCCATGGGTGATGTATCCATCCCTGGGTGGACTCAGAGGGGACCCTGCGGGTCTTGGCCATCCCTAAGACTGTGCTGAGCACAGGACAAGGAGGACAAAAGTCTCCTGCATTTCTTACTAAGTTTGTTGGAACAGCAGCAGGAGTGAGCACAGCCCAACCAGGCAGGGGCAGCCAGGGGAGCCTTCAGAGAACTGGCTCCACCAGTGCCAGTGTCCTTCTCCAGCAGACTCTGTAATGAGAGGATATTCTGCTCTCCAGGGGGACGATGGCTTCTCTCCCCTACAGGGTGGAATTTCCACACGACTGGTACTCACAAGCCACCTTTGACTCAAGGATGTTTAGGTATTTACAGGAGCAGTTGTGATAGATCCTCGCTGGCAGTGAGGTGACACTCAGGGAGCCCCAAGAGCAGCGTCATCTCCGGGAGGAAGGGCAGAGAAAACCCACACTGCTACCCTCAGACACCTCATGGACTGGTGGGAAGTTGGTGGCTTCTGCCACCACGGTAGGAGAAGTGACCCCAAGCATGTTTAGCTGTGATCGTCTTCATACCAGCATGAGTTAAGGCTCTCCGCTCTCCAGTGGAGTAATTTATTTCTTTACTTAGATCCGAAATGATAAAAAGCCGCCTACCGAGGCTGGCAGCATCCAGGAATATTCATTATTCACATAGTGCAGGGAAATTACTTGCTCAAGGACAGAGCCGGAGTCTGTCGGAGCTCAGATTCCTCGCTGAGACTGCAGTGCCTGAAATACAAGTCCATCCTCCCCCTAGACACAGCCCCCGTGCTCCCCACAGAGCCCAGACTCGCAGTCGGGAAAACCATGGGCAAAAAGGAGGAGAGGGAGCAAATCTGGCTTTCATCCGTCGTTTTGAGGAATATAATTGAAGACAGGGTGTGGCTGTTGGAGCCAACAGAAATTAATATAATGCTTGCTTGGAGCTTCGCTTCTGCTGGGGAGGTTTTCAGGAGTTACCCAAGAGCAGACACGAGGCTGGGGGTGCCTTTCTTTCCCTTGCAGACTCTTGGATTTAGGAGGGTGGTGGACCCTTCTCTACAGGTGGATATGGACCACACACACACCTTCCTTCAGCACCTCCCTGACTAACCTGGCTGTGTCTTAAAAACAACACTGTGGTGCTGTCCTGCTCCTAGTGACCATGTTGGGGCTGGAGGCTCAGCACCGAGGCCAGGCAGAGGCTGTGTGGGGCTCACTGTGTAAGCACCCCCAAAACATCCCTCAGTACTGACTTACCCCCTTAAACCGATTTCTTTACCTCCACTTTTGTTGTTATTTGTAGTCCTGTAGCCTCAGGACGCAGCCTTGGGGCAGAGCGCTGGGAAAGGACTGTGCAAGTCTAAGATATGAACATGTCCCAGAAGGATTTACAACCTCAGTGTAGGACAGGAGGAAACAAATGGCTTGGTGCAGCTGGAAGTGCAGGAAGCCACGACAGGCCGTCGGCCAGGACGATGAACAGTGGCCACACACAGTGTCAGTGCCAACAAGCTGAGTCCTCTGGGCCTGGTGGGTGAGAGAGTGAAAGTGGAGGAAGAGGTGATCGGGGTCAATAGTGGTGCACAGGGATGGGGGAGGCAGCAGGATGTCGCATTCCCATGGGATGCTGGTCCCTGTGCCCAGCCTGGCTCCACACGCTCGCCTGGCTTTGCTTATCAAAGCTGATAATGTTCTCCTGTGTCAACTACAAGAAAGGTGTGTCTGGTTTTACAGAACTCTGCTTTCACAAGCATTGCCTCAGTGATGTTTGTGCAACCACACTGGAATATGATTTTATCTTGTCACTTGTAATTAACATTAATCATTTGCATAATGGCCATTAGGCATCACTTATTAAACACTTCTTTGATGTGATACCGAGCTGGCTCCAGGCCTTATGCTCCCATCTTTCAAATGCAGACCACGACTTTTTCCTGGCTAGTGACTCACTGGTTTGTACCACCATGTTTAGCCAAATCCTGTAAGGCAAGTGAAATAATTACCACAGTGGGTTTGGTAACAGCCCGGGCTTAAATACGCCTCGGAGACCGAGGGGGTGACTCTGCTTCAGTTTCTTGCTGACTGTTCACATTTGCAGCCTGTGAGCATCTTCAGTGTGAAGCAGGAGCTCAGCAGGACATGGACACAACTGGGTTTCTTCCTACCAAAGCTCACAGTCTCCCCGGATTTGCTTTGTGAGGGCTGTTGGTTCCTTCCAGCGCCTGCCAGACACTGACAGTGCAGCCAGGCCTCCGGAATGTGCACCTCTGGAGGTTATCACAGCAGAGAAGAGTCCTGGAGAAGTTGTTAGAATAGGTGGGAATAGTGATGGGCGATGAAACTGCAGCAATTCCAGTCCCCCATGGAGAGTTGAGCATGGTGCAGGATGGGAGGGAAACCGAGGCTGAGCCACAGAGTCAGGCCAGAACCTGACACCCTGTTTTGTTCAGGTGCTTCCTGTGCTCAGACACCATCCAGGGGTCCGACAGAGCTGGGCAGGCAAAGGGCTGAGCAGCCAGAGCCTCCCCAGAGAGTCTTCTTTTAGCTTTGTATTGTACTAAAGTCTCTTAATTTAACACACTTTAAATTTGTGGCTCATACTGGCAGTTTAGATTATATTATTCAGTGCACTGAGATGAGAAATCTGTTGGGTTACAGCAGGAGTTTGCTCATCTCTGTAACTCTTAACAAACATTGTACAAGCCAGTACACAAAAATCTAAACCACACAGATAGTTACTGTGTGTGTGAGACTGTGCCTGCCTGCATACTGCATAAAGGAGATTTTTATAAAGAAATTACAGTTTATACATCACAGCAGAACATGGCCTGCCTTTCCAAACACACCGTGCCTGTAATCAGGGATAATTGGCTGTGCTGCACAGTCCGGAACTCGTGGCTGATTTCCAGCACTGGCAATTTGCAACATTAGTTGTTTTCTTTCTGTTTCTTCACTGATCCCTTAAACCTTTGGTGTGTGTCACTCCTCGGGGATCTTTCCTGATGGTGGTGTAATTCCCATGTGCTCTCTGTAGCACACAGACACATCTGCTGGAGCAGTCACAGTGCATTTCATCTTCTGCTTACCAGCCTGAGCGCTGATACAACCTCCTCCTCTCCCTGGGCACCCACCCCTGCTCTCTTTATCCTTGCTTCCTCTCCCAGTCCTGTACCTTCAGCCTGAGTCTGCCTCTGAGATACCTGTCGGTTCTTGCTTTACTAGATTTGCACGTTACAAGACACAGTGTCCTGGACATTGCTCAGGGAGAGGCCGTTCCAGAACCGTCTGAGCTGTTTCTCTCTTTAGAAACAAGCACTAATTCGGACTCATTGTGTCCCCCAAAGCCTTCTTGTTAGGAGCCTCCATTTCAGGCTTCTGTCTAAGGTTAGTCATCAAACCCCATCCAGTATTTCATGAGAGAAAAGGGCTTTCAGAGCCACACAATGAGGGGTGAGGGCTGTGACACCTCTCCCAGCCCGACTGACCCATCTCTCAGACGCTGCTGCCGGTGAGGAGGGACAGGCTGAATCCTGAGCCTTGGCTTGCACACGCAGCAAAATGCAGCTTATGTTCCTGGATGTGTTTGTCATTCCTTTCACTGGGGTAATAAAACACCGGCAGCCTTTTTTTTTCCTGGCTGTTTATTGTGTCTCACTTTTAAAAAAATCCTCTCCCACGTATTAATTTGTCTCACCCTTTTATCTTCCCACATGTTGCCAGCTGGTTCTTCCTGTTTGCCTTTTTTAACAAATCCATTTGGAGGCTCTTTGTTTAGTGTTTTCTCTGGGAATTGTTTGCCTCCACCAGAAGGGCGTGGACAGTCCAGCAGAGCCAGGCTTTCAAAATTCCTGCTTTTCAAAATTCCTGCTCCAATTATTTGGGAAAACTTGTTGTTCTTGATTTTATCCTGTTCGTGCACATCGGTAATAACTCTTAGGTGTTGTGTGCTACATTATATTATGTGATATTATATTTTATTATACTAGCACACACCTACTTTAATGAAGACTCCTTTTTCTCTCAGAGGTCTTTCAGTAGAAGACAGACAGCCCTGAGAGTCCCTCCCTGCCCTCTGCCCAGCCTCCCTGGATGTTTCTTTCCACATCACCTTCTAACTTCATGTCTTAGTAAATGCTTCCTCCTCTGGTAGCAAACATCCCTTTCCACAGCACCAGCTGGTCCCTCTCTTTCGCCCTCCATCCCCATCCTCAGACTCAGAGCTCAGCAGGAGCACTGATGGGGACATGGTTTGTTTTCCTCTTTCCCTGCTGTAGTGACGGCTGTGAGGATGGAGAGCGAGGGTGGATTCTAACCAATCTCAATAACTATTTTTTAAGTACTTGTATGTCAGTTTACTTGCAGAAATTATCTCTCAGTTTCAAGGCTGTGTCAGTGGGAGCAAAGTTTTATTGGAGACGAGCCTTGGTCGCTGCCAGACAACCAGCACAGCCCTGGGGAGCCCGAGTGAGGGGCAGTGCTGGGATTGGAGCAGCTCCTGTGGAGTCCCTCCGGCTGCTGCTGGAGCACAGCTGAGAACACCCAGGTTATTCTTGCCTTGTTCTTCCACATGACTTGTTCTTCAGAGCTCCTCGGGGACATGCAGTGGGGTTGAGGGACTCCCTGGTCTGCAGTGACCTGAGGGAGAGCAGGAAGCATCACTTTTTCAGCGGGTTCTGCATAACGTGCCTTTCTCTTACACGCCCTTGCTCTTGTCCTGACCATCCTTTTCCCTCTTCTCCCTAGCTTTTTTGCAGAATTTTATACTTTATACTCAAAGAGTTGTGACTGACTGATTCCCTTTCCAGTTCCTCATTCCCGTGTCGTGCTGGAAGTCTTATTTAAACACACCTTTACTGCTGGGCACTCCCCAGTGTCAAACCTGATTTCTGCAGAGGTGTAGAAATGTCCCACAGCTGCATCCCTTGCCACTGCTTCCCACCATAGCCCAGTTAATCCCAGTGCTCCACCTCCAACAGCCACAGCTGCCATCCTGCCTGGCTGGTTCCAACCCGGCCACCCTCCAGGGAAAAGACACCACCTCCAACCCCTCTTCCCCCAGAAAAGCCTGGAGGCCTCTCATCCTCCTCTTCCCCCGGTTCCCAGCACTGAAGGGGCAGCTCATGGTCCCGCTCCCCGGCTCCTGGAGGACCCCTCACCTGGCAGACCCTCGCCCGTGCCGGGCTCAGGGCAGGCAGGGCTGGCACAGAGTGGTTTTCAGCCCCCCGCTCCTCCCAGCTGATGTGGCAGCGACTCCTCTTCCTGCTGACCCTCTGTGGAAAGGAGACAGCTCTGGAGACCCAGGCCCTTGGCATTCCCACCCTGGAGACCTCCCCCTGACCTGTGCACTGTCTCTTCAGTCAGTGGTGCCGTTTCCCTCCCAACCCCGAGGGTCATTGGCCACCATTCTCCCGCTCCCTCCCCCTGCCTGTTGGCTGCTGTTGCTTTTCCATCTCAGGATTACCCCAGGCTCCAAGACAAACACTAACAAGTGTCACTTCACTCGTTGCAACTGGCTTTTTGGAACAAAAACTGATTTGCCATGTAACTAATTTAGGACTGGAGAGTCCAGGGGTGGCCACCTCAGGGCTCCACCATTCCAAAGCCTCCTTTTCCGAACAAATGGAGCAGGTGGGTGCTCAGGCTGGTGGTGAGTGTGTGTGCAGCTATGTCTGGGATTAACAGCCTGGCTGTTCCAAAACCTCAGTCAATGGGAGGCAGGGCAGAGACAGCTGCTTTGCATACAAATTAAATTCCCAAAACTTTAATTAAAATTGTTGTGTGAAGCTGAAAATGTTTAGATAATTTATTGTTTCAGTTAATTTAGCTACCAGTCCCTAATCCTGCCTCATTCTGGCAAAGCCAATAAAACTCAGTTAATATGACAGTGTTTGTCAGAGACCTTGCCCAGCTGCCAGCAAAGCTGCCCTTAAAGAGCTGCTACACCGTGCCAGGGGCCAGGACAGCTCTGGGGGCTCTCCTGTCCCCCTTCCCTGGCCCCAGAATGGTCTCTGACATGCAGCCTGGCCATTTATCAGAGCCAAATCCTCAGGTTTGCCTCACGGTTTGCTAATAGACCCTGTCTGGTAACAGGTCAGCACTGGTTCCTCACCACAGCGTTGCTTTTACCACTGGTATCAGGAATGTTCATGTCCCTGTAAGGCAAAGCACAGAGATTTTGGGGAGCCTGGCTCTGTCTGCGTACATGATGTCGTGCTGGCCGCCCTCCAGCAGGCAGTGGTAGGTCTGGATCTCCTGCTCCAGGCGGCACTTGACGTCCAGGAGGGTCTTGTACTCCTGGTTCTGGCACTCCATTTCCGCTCGGATCTCCGCCAGCCGCTGCTCCACGCAGGAGATCTGGCTCTGCAGCTCAGCCAGGTATTTGTTGTAGCGACACTCGGTCTCCGTCAGCGAGGATTCCAGGTTTTCTTTCTGAGGACGGGAGCAAGCACACAGGTTACCTGGGTTTGCTGCGGGCACGACCCTGCTCACGACAGCTGCAGGGGTGAACAGTGTGGCATCCCCTACCATGGTGAGCTGGGCTTGCACGTTGATTTCCAGGGCCTGCAGCTGCCGCCTCAGCTCCGTCACCTGCTTGTTGCTTGACTCGATCTCCTGGCTGCTTGTGACGACCTCCAGATTCACCTCCTCCATCTGCAAGGTCAGAAGAGAGCGGCCCTTTCCTCACGTTCCCCCTACATCATCTCACGCCCCGCAGTGCCCTGAGCAGGTTGGCACCCCCCATTTATTCTCTTGTGGCCACCCTGTGGTCCCCTCTGCCACAGGCAGAGCACAGAAATCGGGCAGTACAGTTAGATCTGAGCGCTGCTGTGACACAGCTGCTGACATTAGGACACCTGATCCCTCACTTTGCCTGTCCCAGGGGGCAGTGCCAGGCCCAGCTCTGCGTGGGTGTGGTACCTTGCAGGCGTACCACTGCTCCGTCTCCTTGCGGTTGCGCTCCATCAGCGTCTCGTACTGGCACCGCAGATCCTCCAGGATCTTCCTGAGGTCTGGGCCGGGGCAGGCATTGACCTCCACGCTCACATCCCCGGTCGCCTGTTTCCTCAGACAGCTCATTTCCTGCAGGGAACACGCACACCAGATCAGTAGATCAGGGTAGAGGGGGGGGCTTTCCTTGTTCTGCATTCCCTGGGTAAGGGGTGATCTGACCTCCTCGTGGTTGGTCCTGAGGCAGCACATCTCCTCCGTAAGAGCCTCGCACTGCAGCTGCAGGTCGGTCTTGCAGCTGGCCAGCTGGTCCAGGACGGGCCGGAGGTTGCAGATGTCGGCGTCCACGTTCTGCCGGAGACCGCACTCGGTCTCGTACCTTCAACCACAGGCAGCAAAGGGGGGGGTCAGCAGGTCAGCAGGGCAGGGCAAGCCCTTCACTTGAGTTTGGTGGGGAGAAATCTGCTTTTGACTATGCAGCGTGACAGGCAGAGGGGTGGGATTTCCCCATCACCGCCCCTCACCTGCCCGTCCCTGGGCCAGCACGGGTCTGTACTCACTTCACTCTGAAGTCATCAGCAGTCATCCTGTTGTTATCAATGTTCAGAAGGATTTTGTTAGTCTCCATGGCTGCACACAGGATCTGGAAAAGCAAATGTAGGAAAAGAGATTCAGGCTTGCAGTTTCCTCTGACTCCAGAGGACCCTGGAGGAATGACCTACCTGGGGTATTCTATAATGATTCCATTATTGAAAAGTTAGGTGGGATCACAGCAGGGAAACCCTCGTGCCTGTTGGGTGGAGCTGGCTGTGCTGAAGCATCAGTTCTCAGTAAATGCAGAATCCCCCTCCCTCGGACCATCAGTCCATATAAACCATCCCTGCACCTGCCCCCTCCAGAGCCATTTCCTCTGCCCTCCAACAGGGCTCTCTGCACTCGGGAAAGCAAAGCCCAAGGAAACATTAAACTTCCTTGGCAAACAAGGATTTACCTGGTTCTGAAGGTCTTCGATTTCCTTGTGGTAGCAGCTGTAGTCCCGTGGCTCGCAGCTGGGCCCCACCTTGGCGTACCACTCCCTGATCTTGCACTCCAGGTCGGCGTTGTCCCCCTCCAGGAGCCGCACCTTGTCCAGGTAGGAGGCCAGGCGGTCGTTGAGGTTCTGCATCGTGGCCTTCTCGTTGTTGGCGAACAGGATCCCATCCCCGCAGCCAGCACCGGCCCTGGGGAAGCCCCCAGCCCCTCGGGCGCAGATGCCTCCACCGCTGAAGCCCAGGGCGGAACAAGCCCTCTGGGTGGCTCCGAAGCTCCCGCCGGCCGCGCTGCCGGCGCTCAGCTGCTTCCCGAGAAATCCCTCGCTCAGGCTGCCACCGGAAAAGCTGCCCCCCACAGCACCCAGGTCGTAGGCAGCGTGTCTCCCCGAGGAGGCGGAGGAGACCCTCCTGCCCGTGCTGGCTGCGTTGCTGCCCGTGCTGCCCCTGCCCTGGGCACAGGTGGTGATGACCTGCCTGACAGCACAGCTCATGGTGCAGCCGACGGGAGCCCAAGGCAAGCGCTCAGCTCGCTGCAGGATCCAACTGTGATCCCTCTGTCCCCTGGTCCTCTATTTATACCAGTCCCCGTGGATCGTGCCACTGGAGAAGGGCTGTTTATCCTTCCTCCTTGTGACCTGGCTAGGAGGTGTTTTTTTTTTTTTTCCTTCAGCCGGAAATAATTCCCCAAAGGCGGTTTGTCTCCAGAAATCCCACAACAGAAAGATGCTTTGGTTAACAGAAGCGTGTTTCAAAACTACATCAAAAATGTTACTTCCTGAATCATCAGGTCTGACTTGTGATGACAGCTCAACAGCAGTGACACAAAAACCCGACGATACCCGAGAGTGCCCGGGGAGTGAAACACCACGGCAATTATCCACCCCCGGCGTGGGAGAGTCTACCCGGAAAGTGAAAGCTGTGGGAAAGGAGCCCTATCTGACAGAGCCTGCTCGACCCCTTTGTCACCAGGAGAGAGGGGGTCCCCTCACTCAGCTGTCCCTGGGACCAGGGCCAGGAGACCAGAGAGGGTCTGTCCCATCCCGCATGGCCCCGGGTGGAGTGAGCCCCTCGAAATGCTCTTGGAGAACACAGAGGAATATTGCACTGGAATGTAACAAGGATGACTTGTCCCTTCTCTTTCTCCTGCATCCATCAAAACATCCCCTTGCAGAGGGAGATCCCAGGGTGTGTTTGTTTTGCTGTTTTAGAGGGTAGGGAAAATAGTCAAAATATTTATCCAAAATACAAGAGAAGAGGATATTTCCTGAGCACCAAACATTGCAGTTCACTGTAAATATTCATCACCACACAGGATAAGATTTCTGAAATAGTAACATGCAGAATTTCAGCAGATACCTGAGTCTGTAGAGGTCTGACCCAGTTCCAGCCATCCCCATGGAAACTCTCCAAATACAGTCTAGGTTTTACATTTAGAAAAGAGAAAGGAAAAAAATCTTTAAAAAAAATATATAATAAACATATTTTTCAGTCCTGGAATGATGAATTGAGGAAGAAGGGAAATAATTAAAATGTTTTGTCATCTGAATCTTTCATTTTATTAATAACATTAATAAAGCCATGCTAATATTGGCTGCCTCTCACCCACGTGTGGTTTGGCATCCAGGTCAGCCGGACACGTGGCGTGAAGGCTGTGTTAGGTGCAGCCTGGCTCACAAATATTGCTTCTGCCGTTTGGGCAAGTTCATTAGGCTCGATTTTATCTTGCCACTGCAAATCCAGAGCTCCTGCACCGTGGGGTGGTTCTGTGGGTGCCCATCCTTTGTTGGAGCTGTCATTAGGAAGCGAAGCCGGTGCCAGGGTGCCCTGACACACACAGGGGTGGCCAGGCCCTGCCTGGAGCTGGGGTCGGGATCAGCTGCAGCCCGGCCACAGTCGGTCTATTTTCCATCCAAGAATTATAAAACTAGAGCTGAGCAAACATTTAATTTCATTTAATCGATAATTATATGGTCCTTCATTTTTCAAGGCCAGGTTGGACGGGGCTTGGAGGAACCTGGTCTGGTGGAAGGTGTCCCTGCCCATGGCAAGGGGTGGAATGAGATGACCTTTAAGGTCCCTCCCCACCCAAACCATCCTGTGATTATATGATTTTATGATTTTTTAAATGAGGAGAAAAAAACACATAATGAGTGAACAGCTTGGAGGTTTTTTCAATTACTGGAAACTAAGCAGAGATGTCCACCTTTCTTCCTTACTTCTGGAACTTCAGACCTTGCCAAAGGTGACTAGAATTTCTGCAGCTTTTGCAAAGGCGAACAGTAACTTCACTCTTGATTTTTCCGGATTTGTGTGTTCTTCACAGCATTCCAGAATTGGAAATTTTGTATTAAAACCAGCTGTTAGTTTTACGCCAGAGCAAACCTCAGGCCCTGCCAGCAGTCACAGCCCTCGTATCATTAAAGAGATTTTCACTTTGTGATGAGGAGACCTGCTAATGACGGCATCTCCATGCCTAATGGAAGGCTCCTTCCAGAATTAACTTTTATTGACTTCCCGACTGGAGTCTGCAGATGGAAATTTGCTGCCCACAGCCTCGGAGCCAGCCCTGGGGCCCTGCTCTGATGTGCCCATCCCCATCCTCGTCCTGGGCTGACTTGGGAGCCCCTCGCAGGCACCGCTGTGCCCCAGGGGAGGCAGAGGAGGGAGCCGGGGAAGGAGCTGCCACGGGCATTTCGGGAGCAGCAGCACTGGCCCGACCGGGAAAAAATGACTGTTTCAAGTAACAAATGAGCAGAAGAGCCCCCCCCAGGCGAAGGTGCTGCTCCCACGTAATGAGCTTTGTACAAAACACAGAGAAAGGGATGATAGTTCGTCGGTGGCCCGGGCTGTGTGACGGGGGCAGGGGATGGGCACCCTGGCGTTATTCCCAAGGGTGCTCCAGAATTACCACGTTCAGCAAGGGCAATGGAAATGAGAAAGATTAGATTTCCCTGGAGGGAAATCCTTTGGGAGTCTCAGGATATTTTAAGGTTTCAGACTGTTCCTTGAGCTAATGCAGATGAAGTATAATGTGCCCCCAAGAAGGAGATCCAGCATTTCACGTTATTACAAGCAATCCCTGAGTCACCAGCTGTTTTCATGTCCAAGAGAGCTTCCCTGGGGACTCATGGACTCAGACACGGCACCAAACTCCACGTCCCTGCTGGTGCACAGGCACAGGGAATGCCAGGAGCAGAGCTGGAGCCAGACACCCACCAGCTGGGGCGTCTCTCACCGCTCCAGCCTAGGCAGGGAGAGCTCTCTGCCCACCGCCAGCTGAATTTCCGTGTTTCACCTGTGGAAAATCCATACAAAGTATTTACAAAGTATTTGCTTATCTGGCTGGTGATGTACCTGTCACACCACCTTCTGCCAGCTGCCATTGGCTGTGCCTCCACCTCTCCGAGGACAGCAGGTGCTCCGGGGTCTGATCCCGGCTTTGCAAGTCACTCCAGGCAAATCACTCAGCTCCTCCAAGTCTCAATTTCATGCTTTGTAGAATGGAAACCATAATAACAGTAATCCTCCTCCTCCTCCTCCTCCTCAAGGGCATTGTAAAAACAACTCTCTGAGGAGCACAAGGGGCTTCAAAGATTGGAAAGACAATACTAGTGTAAGTATTATTTATTTTCAGTGTTCTTGCTGTTTTATACTAAGTTTGACACAGGCACATCCCATAGATTTCCCTCTGTGTCTCAGTCATGAAATACCTTTCCAGGACATTCTTGGTTTTCCTTTTTCATTTTGTTGTGCATTGAAGTTTCACCATCATTTGGTGAGGACTTGCTTCTGTAACTCCTGGCAGAATCCTAATGAGGCTTTTCTTCCTGTGCTTGGAGCTTCCAGAAAATCTGAGCAAAAAAAGGTATTTGTCCTTCTCTTGGAGTCACAATCTGACCATGTTTCACGGACACAAACTGTGTGCATCAAAGAGCAATAACAAGCAGTAAATTGCTCAATAGTTCTGTGGTGTTTTCCTTTTTCAGAGCACTGCAGGGATCACTTGTACTGAGCTTGGACTTCACTCTTGCCTGTGGTAACAGCGTTACACTGAGCTGTGTGCAGAATTAAGGCCTTTTTCATTGATGCAAATATATGTTGATGAATAAGGAAAACCCCAGGAGAACTGAATCCACTGATTACAAACCTGGGCTCTCCATCAGCTCTCCCAGCTGTTTCCCCAGCTCTCCCTGGGATTTCACCTCAGGCTGTTCCTGCTGACAGATGTAAATATCTCAGCACAGGGTGACAGATGTCAGAGATAACCAAATGTGCTGCTGGATCAATCTCTCCCTTGTGCCCTCTTGGCTGCAGAAGGAGCCATCACTCCCTGGGCTGCCCGTGGAGCCAGGTACTCCTGGACTGACATCTTTTAACCTCCTACTTGTATTTAATCAGGTAGATTTGTGGTTTGCAGAAAGCCTTTCTGTATTCATACACTTGGGGCAGTCTGCAGATGGCTCAAGCGTTAAAAAGCTGCCATTTATAACTGAAATAACTCTGTTCTGATGGGAAAAAAGCGCAGCACATCAGCAGTGTTCTCAGGATTTCCACCTGCAAGCCTTGCCCCCTGCCACAGGGCCTTGATCTGGTTTTAATTTTTGACATAACTCTGGCTCATTTGGCCTGGAAGACTTCCTATTTATCCACGGAAGGTCTGTTGTTCCAGAAAGGACACAGTCCATGAACTCTGCACTCCACTCGCTTCCTGCCCTCTGTGTAATTGCTGAACGATGACACAGGACGATAACATCTCACACTCCCTTTTCTGGAAAGACCTGGCAGGCTCCCCAATTCTTCGATCTCCTTTGCCTGTCCTGTCATGCCCAGTGTGACATCACCAGCTCTTTCCCAACCTTCTGGGGCCGGGGAGTGCGTGGTGAGAGTGCTCAGTGGGACCTCAGTGCTGTGGGGAGGCTGAGGGACACTGAATCACCGCTGATCACCCGAGGGATGAGTGACCTGAGCCTCAGGAGCCTCTTGTGTGTTGTGGCAGCTGATTTACTGCAGACTCTTCCCTTTCCCTTTGGTCTGAGCCCCAGCTCTGTATCCTTGAGGCAGGGGATGAACATGAGCCCGTGGTCTGAGACTGGGCAGGGCTCCCAGGTTCCACTGGCTGGAGAGCATGAAGCTGGATCTGAGTGATTCCATCAGGCTTTTGGCTCTCCAGGAGGCGAGTGGGCACAGGCACACCCGGTACCTGCTGCCCGACTGTGTCACTAATCCTGAGTGGCAGCTTGGCCTCCAGGCACTGTTTCTGCCTCCTGTGTTTCAGGAAGGATTTTAGCAGTGATCTACCAGACATAATAGTGAAAAAAAAAATTGCTACTCATCCCTGTGCAGATTAAGCAATGGTTACTGTAGATCCTGTTAAGTGCAGCCCTGGGGCAGCATGAAAAGCTCTGTATAAGGTTTCTGTGCCCAACAGTGTGATTTAAAGACAGCCAAAAGAGGCAGCAGGCACGTGTGGATGAGGTTTGCCAACCAGGGTGACACTGGGCTCGTGTCTCAGATGGAACATCTGACAGCACCGGTCTTGCCGATGTCACTCAAGTTCAGCTCAGAGGAGAAAATGATTTGTTATGATCCCAAGAGAACTGAGCTTTATTTTGTCGGTTTTAATTATCAGTCGTGTGGCACACTGACCTCAGACCTCATCTGTCCATAATTGCCTTCAATTTCTATCACTTATCTGGTTTATGTCTTAGCCAGTCCAGGGTATTTACAAGCAATGAGTTCATTTGCTGTCTCCAAATATCTTTGCCCCGGATGGAACCCATGTCCCTCCAGGTGAAACCCATCTCCTGCCATTCCCCTCCTCTCACTGGCTGCTTCTTGTGGTTTCTTAGGACTTTCCCTGGCATGAACACACAACCCTGAGGCCTTTAGGGATCTTGTGTCAGTGACAGACAAGTCTGCAGTTGCACTAGCGAGGAGGAAAAAGCTTTATTAAGTGTGTCCAGAGGCACCTGCATGGAATGAGGGTAATACAGGCAGGAGGAGGAGGTGGAGGAAGCTTTCTGGGACACAACCCAAGGCCTCAGGCAGTGCTTGGCTCAGCTCACTGCTCTCCTGAGCCTGGGGTCGAGGGTCCTACTGGCCCTGCTAGCGAGTGGTGAGCGCGACCTGCTCGCGGGAGGAGACCACCTTCCCGTCCTGCACCTCCTCGACGATGGTGCGCACCTGGCGGGACGATGTCACCACTGCAGGGGGGAAAGGGGACGGTCATTCGTGGCAGGAGGGAGAGAATTTCTTAACACTTTATCAGACACTGCACATTCCTCAGGAAATGGCAGGTTCTTACCCTCTCTGCCGGAGCGCGAGGACGAAGAGGAGGAGTACTGGGAGGAGATGCTGCAGGAGAAGCACAAAACCAAAGAGGAGTTTAGGGACAAACATCTGTTGCTGCTGTTATACAGGCTCTGTGTTCAGGCAGGAGGAGAACAGAGAAGACTCATGGAGGTTGCTAAAAGTGCTGCTACACTTGGCCTGGGGAGCAGAGGGACCACGGCCCCTTCCAGCAGAGAAGGGGGCCTGGTGCAGCATCCCAGTCCAGCCAGAAACCAGGGACAGAACCACTGGGCATCCACACCCAGTGTGAACATGGAGCCCAGCCCCAAAAGCTGCAGCTGCACCGAGTCCCTGGGCAGCACATGCCGTGTCTACCCCCGTGTCCTCCCTCCAACCACCCCAGCTCAGTCCCTCACTCACTGGGCGTCCTCGCCCTCCAGGAGCCGGCGGTACGTGGCGATCTCCTGCTCCAGGCGGCACTTGACGTCCAGCAGGACCCTGTACTCCTGGTTCTGGCGCTCCATGTCGCAGCGCAGCTCGGCCAGCTGCTCCTCCACGCTGCTGATCAGCACCTGCAGCTGGGCCAGCTGGGTGCCGTAGCGCGCTTCCGTGTCGGCCAGGGTGCCCTCCAGGGCTGCTTTCTGTGGGATGGGGATAGGGGTGGCTCAGGGGTGCTGGGGTGGCTGGGGGGGCACAGCCCTGTGGCCCTGTATCCCCGGGTGGCCCCTAACTCCCATACCGTGCTGAGCTGGGACTGCAGGTCGATCTCCAGGCTCTGGATCGTGCGCCGCAGCTCCGTGATCTCCGTCTTGCCGCTCTGCAGCTGCTCCGTGTTGATGGCCACCTCCCGGTTCAGCTCTTCCGTCTGCAAGGAGGACAAGCCATGCCCTCAGAGCCCTGGGCAGTGGGCACAGTCCCAGCCGTGTGCCCTCTGCTCCCCTCCAGCCCCTCACCTTGCTGAAGAACCACTGCTCGGCGTCCCTGCGGTTCTTCTCCGCCAGGCTCTCGTACTGCTCCCGCATCTCCGCCAGGATCTTGGTCAGGTCGATTCCGGGGGCAGCGTCCATCTCCACGCTGATCTCCCCTCCCACCTGCCCGCGCAGGGCAGTCATTTCCTGACACAGAGAAGACACGTGTCACAGTGACAGTGGTGTATTCCCATCCTGAGAAACTTCTTACTCGCACTCAGCACAGGAACTCCACCTCCTCGTGGAGGTCTGTGCTCTGCGCTCACCTCCTCGTGGTTCTTCTTCAGATAGGCCAGTTCCTCCTTCAGGTTCTCGATCTGCATCTCCAGGTCTGCCCTGGACAGGGTCAGCTCGTCCAGGACGCGGCGCAGGCCGTTGATGTCGGCCTCCACGCTCAGGCGCAGGGCCTGCTCCGACTCAAACCTGGGGGCACACACACAGCTGCAAACCCCCGCCTCATACAGGGTTATTCTTGTCTTTTCCTTCCCCAGCTTGGCATTTTCTGCTAAGAATCTTTAATTTAATGTGTGTGCAAAGCTCTCAGAGTGCAGGAGACTAGGTGCTGTGCCCAGGAAGAGATGCACAATTCCCAAATGCCCCACTCCCAGTGAGCAGCGACCTGGTGGAGCAACCCCAGGTGCAGAAAGAAAAGCCTGGAACAGCCAGGCCTTTCATCCCCCTTGTCCCAAGAGCTCTCGGAGGTGTTGGACTCACTTGGTTCGGAAGTCATCCGCTGCCAGCCTGGCATTGTCGATCTGCAGGACGATGTTGGCGTTTTCAACAGTCGCAGAAAGAATCTGGTGGGGGATAAAGGAAAGAAAAAGAGTTTAAAAGTCATTTTAAACGCTGGCAGCAGTCCCATCCAGGGAAGGACTGGGAGTGGAGCAGCACTGGGCCTCCTGGCGTGGGGCTGGACTTCCAGTTGGGCTCTGCAGAGAGGGAGATGGGGGGTGCTCAGCTCCATCTCCTGTCAGCAAAGATTCAGTCCTGTGAGGACACTGCTGTGGGCTCATGGCCCTGCCCAGGTGGCATCTCCAGGTGCTCACACCATGCTGAGCCCTGGCAGCACTCCATGCTTTGGGAATGGGAAGAGACCAGCTGAGAAGGGAAAAAAAAAGGGGTTGAGGAAAGAAGGAAGGAATGCCTTGTGCCTGCTGTTGTTTGGCTTTCGTAATTACACCTGAGGTGCAAATATTTGCTCTGGGATTATGAAAATGATTGGCCATTTAGTGAGCAGGAATTTCTGTAGCCACAAGCTAATGAAAAGCTCTCACTGAGTTCTGCTCCTTCAGGGGATATCCAGGGAATAATCCAGGAACATTGATGTGGTCATTTCTCAGCTGTTCTGTGGGATGGGAGGAAAGGGTCTGCCTCTCTCTGGGTCAGGAGCAGAGGGTTTCTGTGAGACCCAGCACTTCTCTGCTCCAATCCAGAGACAGCTCCTGCCTAGAGATGTTCCTGTGCTCCATCAGAGCACACTAGACAAGCTGGAATCTGAAGGCAGGACCCTTCCTCCCAGGGTGAAGCCCAAGGGAACAGTTAAGGAACAGAAAAATTCTAGGAATGTGATCTCCCCCAGGGGCTGACCCTGCCCCATTTCCCTGGAATTTACTCACAGACCAGGTATGTTATTGCCTAACTCGCACACATCATCCCTTCAGTGGAACCTGAGCTCACTGGGGATGAGTGATGAGGGTGGAAAGGGGGCAGCCATGGCAAGGCAGGGAGGGATGGCACATTCTGGTGCTTTGGATCAGGGACTTC